TGCCCAGGTCTGACGAGGTTGAGGCCTCTGCCAGCAGATCGCTTGAAGTCTTGTGCGAGGGAGCACGTGTTGGCTACCGCAGCGTTTCTTGCCTTGGGCATTCAATCTTCACCTGGCTGTCGGCATGAGATCCGCAGAACCGCGGGCCGCAATCTGAACATGCCTGCGGCCTCCTCATTCGCCACTCGCCTTTCGGAATGTGGCATGACCGAAGCTTTTGCGTTGGCTTGGAAGAGACTTCTCAAATGCAGAGGCAGCTTCGTACATTCTGCTTCCGCGCTCGCTCCCAGGCGCACAAGAGAAAAGCGGCCGCTGACGGTGGGGCCCCGAGCTTCGGAGAGGTTTCCATCTTCCTGGGTGTGCCAGCATGGCTTCTTGACAGATTTTCCAAGAATCTCATGAGCTGAGACGGCATGGGACTGGACATAGATGCCATACTCCCGCCGCTCATGAGGAAGAGGCCAAGAAGGTCATGGAATACTGCAAACGCTTCAAGCCGCTCACGTCGGAGACTTACTTGTTTCTGTTGCAGTAGTGCGAGCTTTGAATCAGAAGGCTCGCAACTGGGCTGGTTCTAGCAAACAAGCTAGATTGCGTGCCTATCATTGTTTGGGTCGTGGAATAGCAGTTGGTAGCAGTCGTCGTCGTCTCTTCGTCGTCTCGTCACGGCATCGTCGTCGTTGTCGTCTCCTGGCCGTCCCGTCGTCGTCGCCTACCTTCTGCTGCTGGCTTCTCCTGCTGCCGCTACGACTAGTGTACCACTGCATGACGACAAAGAATACTGAGTTCAATACTGCGTCTCGGTCGAAGTAGCCGAGTACTCCGCGTCGTAAAAGGGGAGCAGCGGCAGCACTAGTCTGCAAAGCCCGAGCTGTGTCGCCCAAGGAATGAGTCTCAAGCAGACAAAGTCAAGAAGCAGATGACCGGATTGGTGCCAGACCGAGAAGGGGTAAGTGAAAGCAAAGGAACAAACTTGAACGATGCCAGCTATAGTACCTTGTCATAGTGAATAGCAGGAAGCTGATCTCGAGATTTTACGGTCAGTTGTGAGATGCTCTGGATCCAGACTCATGTCTGGCATGAACTTTTGATGCTTAAGCACCAAAGCGATCGGGTCGAAGTTCGATTGTAACATGAAGAGAGGTTTCGTTTCTGCCATGGACGCATCATTGTAATTGTGAAGGCTTGAAGGGTCGTTAGCTAAAAGCTTGATACCGGAAGAGACGAAGCCCTCAAACCTACAACATTGAAAGCGTCGCTTCTGTCCTGCCAGCAACTCCAACGCGGCAGCCGCAAGCTCATCAAGTGCTGCTCTCAGTCACCACTCACCTCCGGAGTTCGGGAGCACTAACCCCCTAAACCCTAAACCC